TCTGGACCATAGAGGTGGGTGCCGCCGCGCAGCTCACTGTTGGCCACAGTGCAGCCAGAGCAGACAGGAAGTGTGAGGTTTCTTTTAATAAAACAATAAACAATAAATGTGTACTGTATTCTTCCTCATGGAAAAATAAGACATTCCCTGAAAATAAGACTTAGCGCATCTTTGGGAGCAAAAATTAATATAAGACACTGTCTTATTTTGGGGGAAACAGGGTAGGGTTGTCATTGACTAGGATAAACTCAATAGTAATGAATAACAACATCAATAGCTGAAATTAAAGAAAAAAAAGAAGAATATTCCAGGGAGAGGAAGAACATGTGTAAAGACCCAAGGCAATGATGAGTGTGGTGCAATCAAGAAACAGAAGCATAAAAGCACCCAAAGAAGAGTGAGAATGTATGATGCTGTAGTAGTCCTGGATTAGAGCAAACCACGTTAACAGTGTCACGTCAAAATTTTTAGGTTTATCCTAAAAGCATTGAAGACAGCGCTGTGATCACACTGGCTAATCTAAAAGATTACCAAGTGCATTGTGTAGGAATGGAGAGAAAAATCAAAATAGCAATATCAAGAAAGAAATTTGATTGTATTCTAGGGGAGAGAGGATTGGGCCAGTTTTACTTCGCTAGGGACACCATAACAAAATACCACAATGTTGTAGCTTGAAATAATAGAATCTTTTGTCTCAGTTTTGGAGGCTAGAGTCCAAATTCAGGTCATTGGCAGGGATATACTTTCCATGCATTGACTGTAAAGAACATCCTCCAGAGTTTTGGTAGTTTCTCATAACTGCCCATCATTCTTGGTATTCCTGAGACTGTAGATATCTCTGCATCTGTTGTCACATGATGGCCATCTTCCTTCTGGTCATGAGTATTGTCCTTTATAAGGAGATGCACTCAGATGGGATTGCATTTAGGAACCATCTAACTATAGTATACCCTCATAAATGCTATCTTCAACAAGGGTCACATTCATAGTCTACCATCCTTTTGGGGTTCAACCCATAGCAAGTAAACTACTAGGAAAGTCAGCAAACAAGTGATATATTAGAGTTGTCTTAGGATCAACACCTGCAGATGGGAAATTAAAAAAAAAATAGGATTAGGCAGACCGTGATAAGTGCTCATAATTAACAATGGTCATAGGTAAGAATGACCCCTCAGTGTTGGGCAACAAGGAGGTCCTTTGCATCCACCTGCTGCAGGTCAGGGTGTACAGACTAGGTGTCCTTCTCCATCATCGACAATTCACATGCTCAGAGCAAAGCATCTGAGACAATTGAGGGGGCTCTCAATTGCTCATCACAGCATCCACCATATGGAGGTTTGACTTAACACAATAGCAATAAAGAAAGAATAAGAATTGATGGATCTGAGAAGTATATTGTTGATAGAATTGACAGAAGACCAAGATAAATTATACGTAAGGCAAAAAGAAGAGGGTGATATCAGGTATATGCATCATGTATATGTATATTTATATTGATTAGTTAAGTAAGTGAATCTATATTTCAGAAAGCAGGCTATTGGCTAGGAATTAAAATTGGGGATAATCAATGAATTAGTGTTCACAAATCCTATGATAACACAGAAGCATCACCTCATGAGAAACTTGATAAAACCCTGAGTAATGACGACTAAGATTGGTTTAGAAAATTACTTGGCACATAATAAAAACTACAGTAAGTCCTTGTTGGCATCACAAGAATAACTATTTTTTAGCAGTGGAGATAGACGGCCACAGAGGTATGTTATAGGTGGCTGTCAATCCATATGTGCAGCTGGGTGCAGCAAAACCTAAGCATACAGGAAAATATCAAATGCCAACCTATCACTTCCGTGCCATTGGTGTTCGGACACCAGTCACAAAGGCGGCATTGCTTCCTCTGACCATAACCACCTGGAGCTGCTAGGGCACACTCCGTACAGAGTAAGACATTTTGTCTCGTCCCAAGAGCTCTTCTCGCTTGCCAGTTCAAAGGTGGGTGACACCTGATATACGCTCTGGGCTGCCCATCCACCTCACTTTAACTACTCCCTCCCATTACTTCTTTAGGTGTTGATAATTCTCCAGAACGATCACAGACCCACAGAAAATGCTACCCTTCCAATTGCATTTCATTGTAGCAAAAAGGGGACAAATGTAGATATTTGGTTAGAGGTCTCATAGGATGCTCATTGGAGATCTTCTAAGTGGCAGAAACAAAAGTGCTCCCTACTTGTGTGAATTGGTGTCTTTCATCAACTAGGAAGTTCATGAAACATCCATATCCAAGACTTTGTTTAAAGCCTTATTGCACAGGTATGATTGACGGTATTAGGATTCTCTTCCTGGGGATATGGGGTGGTCAGTCTGACCTGTGTGACACCCATCTAAGTTGCATGAGCAACATCAACCCTCATCATCCAAACACTTTAAATACTAGGGAATTCTAAGATTTTATAGGTTATCACTCAGTCACTGTTATGACCTGGCCCTACTTTAATACGTATTGTAAATTCTAACCTCTTTACCTGTGACTAATCCCATTTGGGAATGAATGTCTTTGTTAGATTAGTGAGGCAGCATTATTGTGTCTCTTGAGTCAATATTTTTTGAAATAAAAATCAATACTAAGTAAGCATGAGTAAGAAGGATAAATGCCATGCCAGAGGATTTTTCCAAGGAACTAAGAAATAGAAGTTGAGAAGAGACACACACCCCTGCTAGAGACAATCATTGCCCTGAATTCAGACTTTAAGCTTCCTGGCAGAAAATTCTTAGTAAATACATTCCTGCTTATTAAGCGACATGCCTATAGAATTTCTGGTAGAGCAGCATTAGATGACTAAGACGGTTACCAGAAACAAAGATCAAATTCTTGGAGTAAATTTAACTTTTAAACCCCATAATAAGGTGCGTGTCAGGAAGAAGAATCAGCCAGCATGGCTACTGATCTGATTACTAGTTCTCCTAGCAAAGTTTTGGAGGAAGCAACTTTCAAGAAGACAGCAGCCTAGGATCCTGTTTGTCTTTCGTGGCTCACATGTGATCCTTCAGAACTGCCTTTGGCCAGAACATAAAACCCTGAGCCGAAGGTGATCAGTTCTCAATGTCTCACCAGCAGTTTCTTCATGCAGCCTCCATTCACTGCTGCCTGGATTATGCTCAAAGTCTCCTAACTGGTTTTCCAGCTTCCTCACCCTTACCTTCTTAAAATTCAGATTGTACAAAACCAGCTTATATGCTCAAGACTCTTCTATTTCATTCAGGAGAAAAACCTATGAGGTCCTACGAACTTTGACCCTAGCAATTCCCACTGCTTCCTCATCCTGGCCTCAGCTCTCCCCACTTCTCCACGCACTCCTCTCCACCCACACCAAACGCGTGGTACTTTCATCTCCAATTCCTGTGTGGACTCTTGTCTTGCGCTCTCTGCACTTGCTGGTCCCTTTCCTAGAACACCCTTCCTTCAGATGGCTACCGGGCTCCCTTCCTCACTTCCTTGCCGTTTTTGCACAATGCCACTTTAGGGTAAAAGATCTCTGGACATTTTATGATCCATTTAACCTCCCACTGCCTTTTCTATACAACTCTGTTTATTACTTCTGGCATCCTCTATATTTTAAATATACTTTTTTTTCCTGTTGTCCTCTTCCTTCAGATTATAAATTTTGTTAAGATTAGGCAGGGATCCTGTCTTCTTTGATTAGGATTAATTTACTGCTATATTTCTGATACCAAGAAAAGTAGTGGTTTATAATGGAACATCAATAAATATTTGTTGAATAAGTGAGTGGATGAAGGAAGGAATAAACACAAAATTAGCTTCTAATTCTGTTTCCTTGTAGGTAACGTGCTTAGACTGTCTTCTCTTAAGTACTTTCTAGACATGGTTTAAATAGTCAAAAAACTCAAACCACACCTTCAGTAGTAGGCCTGATTCCAACTCAGCAGCCCTACAGGGCAGGATAGGACTGCCCCACAGCATTTCCTCAGTTGCAGTCTTTATGGAAGCAGGCTGCCACGTCATTCTCCTGAGGAGCAGTTGGTGAGTTTGAACCACTGACCTTTCACTTGAGAGATTAGCATTTAACCACTCTGCCACCACGGTTTCTAGAATATCATTAAGTCAGCCCTGCTTTCATGAAGGAATGAAGTTTTCAGTGCCCTTTGAAGTTGCTATTTTGCTTCCTAGTTGGATGTAGTGCTTCATATAACTAATGGGGGTACTGCGTGTCTGAACACGATGACATATAGGAAGAGAAAATATAAATGATTTGGCCTGGTTCTGAGTGATGTCAACACCAGTTTTAAAGGAAAAGAGTCCAAGAGTTCCTTTTGGATGCTGTGTGCATAGAGAACCTGATCAATCCTCTCTCACCCACTTTGCCAACAGCTAATATTGATAGGTACATGTGCCTAGAGCCAGACAGCAGATTGTTAGAATTATTCCATTACAGTGTTGTTTAGTGATGCTAGATTCACCTTTGTACACAGTCTCAGAAAAGTCAGGTTTGGGACTCAGCTGCGTCAATATGTTGCAACAAAGCTCTCCTTGCTGTAATGAAATAGTCCAAACAGTTGGCCTGGATTCTTCCGCTTTGCCCTGGTAGCTCTCACTCACCCTGGAGAGGAAGTCCAAAGGGCACTGAAGTGGGCTGCCAAGTGTTTGGAGGGCACTTTGAAAGCTCCTCGGAGAATTAAACCCTTCCTGAGGTTACAAAATCACTTGTTTCAATTGTACGTGTGAAAATATTGAGCTTCTAAAGCACCTTGCTTGTGTCTCATCTTTGTATTTTTCAGATTTTAGCTCCTTTGGAAGAGGAGTCCCAGTGTGGAGACTCCTGTTGGCACCGATGAAGTAAAAACAACCCCCCACCTCTCTGCTAGCCATCACGGGAACAACTTTGTGGAACCTTTTGCACAAGACAGACTATTGGCAACTCAACTGTTAAACCTGTCTGGGATTACTCCTTCTTGAGATCACTCTGATGTCACCAGTGTAACTTGAGCCCAGGGCTTTGTTCCCACTTTAAATAGCAGTCCCAGCATGATTTTGCTTCAGACTCTGGAAAGCAGGAGCTGAATTCCGGACAATCCCACATCGATGAAAGCAAAGGGAAGGCACCAAGACATCATCATGTCCACCTCGCTGCGAGTCAGCCCATCCATTCATGGCTACCACTTCGACACGGCTGCCCGCAAGAAAGCTGTGGGCAACATCTTCGAAAACATCGACCAAGAATCTCTGCAAAGGCTCTTCAAAAACTCTGGAGACAAGAAAGCCGAGGAGAGGGCTAAGATCATTTTTGCCATTGATCAAGATTTGGAAGAGAAAACAAGAGCCCTGATGGCCCTGAAGAAGCGGACGAAAGACAAGCTTCTCCAGTTTCTGAGACTGCGGAAATATTCCATCAAAGTCCACTGAGGACAGGAGTGTGGCTAGGAAGAACGGACATTTAACGACCAACAGTGAGTTTATGAGACCCGGGGACACACAACGCTGAGTTGTGCCTTGTGAGCTTCTCAGGACTCGGGAGCCCTGAAGCAACAGAACTCACTGGGTACCGCGACTGACACAATTCCAGGCACTAGGCTGTGACAGTGGAGGACAAAATGCTTTCAGCCAGGACTGCAAATGCTCCTGCAGGAAAGGACTGCTGCCGGTGCCAAGGGAAGAGCCCGAGTTTAGGCAGATGTCATAAGAACTGAAGAAAACAGATGGTTCTGGGGAGGGAAAAAAATGCATCCAGGGTTACTTTATCAGACTCTTAAAACTTCAATTCACCGTGAACTTTTCAAACAACAAAACCAAAATTGGATTGGGGAGGGTAGAAGAGGGGAATGGAGAAAGAAAATAGTATGCTCAAAGTGTTTACTGAATTTTTCTATTTGAATGTTCACAATGTTGCCAAGCCTTCCTGTTGCCTTTTGGTAAAGCATTTTTAGAGATCGGTAATTATTTATTTACATTTATTACAATGCTTGAAAATGTGCATCATGTGGGTGTAAGTGCAAATTCATGAACTTTAATATTCTTAGCAGCTTAGTTGAACCATATATCATTCTCTGGTTTGTAACGACTTTTAGACATTTAAAGTTGGTTGCACAAAAGTTAAAATAATGGGGTTCTTCATAAATCTAAAGTACTGTGAAAATATTTTATAATGGTTTTTATCTTCTGACTAATGCTCAAATATAATCTAATGAGAGTTCTTTCAGTTATTACAGTAAGCATTGGGAAATGAGTATGATACACTAAATAGTTGATGAAGATGCTATGGTTTCTATAATTTATTATACATGGCAAGTGAGATGCAACCACAATAAATTATTATGAACTTAGCTGATCTTGGTGTGTGATGATTGGTCTCGAGGGGAAAAAAGGAAATTAAATTTTGATTATTGTAAACTTTTCTAAGGATTTGGCACTAAGAATATAAGTGCTTTTAGCAGAGCATTGAATTAGTTGCCAAACTCTTTTAAAATGAATTCTTATATCAAATATTTAAAACATTTTTCTGTCATAACTTTCCATGATAATATATGGACATGGAAATTCATGGACTGGCTTATCATTATCGTTGCTTATGACTCCATGGTGCATTTTTTTTTTTTTAAACATTTTATTAGGGGCTCATACAACTGTTATCCCAATCCATACACACATCAATTGTGTAAAGCGTATTTGTACATCATTTCTCAGAGGGTGCATTTTAAAAGGCTTTCTCCCCATAATTTTGAAATTTAAATGTCTCCTCTGTGACTGTAGTAGTTGTGTACATTTTTGAAAACTCATTTTAGACCGGCACATGGCGTTATGAAACCAATATTTATTTTTCCCTAAGCAATATATTTTTGAGTTGGGAAGCCTGAATTATGATTCTATGAGTTATCAATGTTTATTTAATGTACACCAATATGGGAATAGCATTACAGGGTTTTTTGTTTATATCCTTCTAAAATTACAATACAGCATTTCTAAGACAGCACGCATCAATCCCTGCCATGCTTTCCTATCCAGGAGAAACACAAGTTCGCCAGAAAGTAAGCATTCCAGGGATGACCACAAACAGGTTTGAAGCTGCTGATCCTACTAGAATGAAACAAGTAAACAGCAAAAATATGTTGGGAAAGGGCACCAATTAGATTTTAATGGTTTGGAAAAAGTTTAGGAAAGTAAATAGCAAAATCTATTTTTGTAGATCAATTGACTCCTCCGGAAGATAATGTACATTTATCTCATTCAAATGGTTTCTTTTCCCCCCACGAGCACATCCAGGAGCGTCATGCATTTGTGCGCAGAATATTGTATATGTGTGTCTATGTGCATGGGTTGAGGAGGGATAGTCATCATTTTTATAACATTACAAAAACATCCAGGCCCCCCACACAAAAAGAAAGCCAAAAGAGGAAGGGTTTTGACAGTGTGGATGGGATTTAGAAAGGTCAGAGTGAAAATACCAAAAATATCTCGGCTCCTTGAGCCAATTTCCCCTCCTGGAGAGCTGGGTGTGCTTGATGCACTCGCCTCTAATCCTCACGGCACCCCTAGGAACAAGCTCCCCACTTCTGATAGGACCTCCAGTCTCACATGTTCTCTGTCCATTGAAAATTCCCAAACATCATATAGACATGTCTTAGGAAGGAAATTGAATCATTCCTAGGACATCCATTATACTTTATAATTCCAATGAAAATCTTAAAAATCATTTCTTTTCAACGATTTCTGGACCGTATTGGATGCTGAGCCCAGTCCAAGGGCTGCTTTCCCCCCACGTACCCTTGATGGCTGACCCTGCTCTGCTGTTATCAATAGGAGCCAGTGTCCTCTTTTCACATTCTTGTTGTTATTGTGTAACATACAGTAGATTCTGACTCCCAATGAGGCGAGATCACAGAATGGTACCCCCCCACAGGGATTCCTAGGCTGAAAGCAGATCTCCCTGTCTTGCATCCAGTGGAGCCACTAGCGGATTCGAACCACAGACCTGTCATTTAACAGCGGAACTTTTGACCACGGTGCCACCAAGGCTCCTGCCCTTTTCACTGAAGCATGTTATCATTAATTTCTGATTATAGAACTGTAATGTGGGGAGGGGGATTAAAAAATGAGTTGGATATTGCTCCAAACACTGTGGGGAATAACTCGTTGAGTAAATTATTACACAAATATGTGTTTTCTTCTTCATGGAGGACAAACGCCGGCGTCAATGTGATTACTAAGGAAGATTTTCTACTTCGTAGTTTTTATTAATGGGAGATGAAAGTGAAAAATCTTGGAAACAGGAACAGCGAGTTCTGTTCAAAATTCCTGCCAAGGCATCAAAACAAAACAAACCCCTCTGATATCAAATTAATTCTGGCTCCTCATGTCTTACAGGGCAGAGTAGGCCTGCCCCATACGTTTTCCAAGGTTGTGTGTAATGTCATGGAAGGAGGCTGCCTCATCTTTAGAGTGGCAACTGAGCACTTTACTACTGCACCTTCTGGGAACAATCCAGGACATATATATGCCTCATTCATGTTCTCCTCGACAGAGGGTTACAAGAGATGCAATTGATGCTCCCAGGAAGCCTGATGAGCTAATAAACAAATTATTAAGTCGTGGTTTGGAAACGGTGTGTCTTTATAGAGTACCTGAGGAGCCCTGGTGCTGTGGTGGCTACACGATGGGTTGCCAGCCTCAAGGTCAGCAGTTCAAAACCATCAGCCCCTCTGAGGTAGAAAGACAACAATTACAATCTTGACACTCCACAGGGGCAGTTCTACACTGTCTTATGAGGTCCCTAAGAGTCAGAATCAACTCTATGGCAGTGAGTTTCAGGGTTGTTGTGTTCTTGTTTTTAAGGCTGCCTTATCTATCTTCTAACCTCTATGCAAGAGTTTTCCAAAATAGCATCATGTGTACTCAATCCCTTTTACAGCAACTTGACCACTGGTTCTCAACCTTCCTAATGCTGCAACCCTTTAATACAGTTCCTCATGTTGTGGTGACCCCCAATCAGAAAGTTGTTTTCATTGCTACTTCATGACTGTTATTTTGCTACTGTTATGAATCGGGCAACCCTTCTGAAAGGGTCGTTCAATCCCCAAAGGGGTCGTGACCCATAGGTTGAGAACCACAGAACTAGAGAGTTGTATCAAGGCCTCTGGGTTGCTTATATTCAATTAATGACATGGAGCCTCACAGTTTTAACCAGAGGCTCCAGGGAAGAAAGTCCTGACAATCTGTTTCCATAGAGATCACAGTGGAGAGAAGCCTATGGACCATAGCTGTACTGTGCAGCAAGCAAGATGACCGGGATTCAGAATTGATGGAACACCCAGGGCTTGGGTGTCTAGTTCAGGGAACTCGATAAGAAGCAGGGTTTGCACCTGTCTCTTTGTGCCCCCCCGCCCAAAAAAAATGTCATAAGTACCCATTAGGCACCATGGGCAAATTGAATGATGGACAGAATAATAAAAAAGTAACACCTTTCTTCTCTATAAAAGGAGCCAGAAAAATGTTTTAAAATAAAGAATGCAAGAGTTATATGATAGGAGCTTTAAAAGGGGGTCATGGGAGCACAGGGAGAAATGAAATGTGTCTGCCTGTGTGAATGTGTTGAGGGTGAGGCTGAGTAACTGGAAATACTTCTGTCTTACAGGATTTTTGTAAGCCAGAAGAGTGGGGAAGCATATTTTCATTTAAGTATATAACACATCCCAATGCAAGGAGGCATGAGATAACGTGAATTGCTCAGGAGCCTCTGAATGGTTCTGTATGGCTAGTGTCCTGAGTATTTGGGTCATCCTATGATAAAACTCAGACATGTAGGTAGTGTTAAGTTCCAGCTCCAGGCCAGGTACACTTAGGTGGACGTTACACCTGGATTGGCCCATCTATGCGAGGTGAATTTGATTCAGCCAAAGGGGTCGACCAGTCTTGTCGACCACACCTCCCAAGGGGCCCTGAGAAGCCAGAGGTGTTGCTCTGGCTGCTCTCCCAGCGGCGCCGACACACAGTTCAGCGTGGCCGGGCTGCACAGCCCACCATGACTGTGCCACGTCTGCCAACCATGCCGCGGACTCTGTCTGGCTCGTGTTCCATCGACTGTAGAACCTGAAACTACTTCTAACGTTCATAAAACTCAGTTGGATCACAAACTAGCCTTCAGCATGAATTATTTCTCACGCGAAATCAAGGACCAAGGTACATCTCTCCCATGAGAGAGCGAGCAAGAGATCTAACAGTAGGCCTTGCAAGCCAAGCTTGAGTGCTAATATTATCCTGAAGGTAAGAAGGACTCATTGAGGAATATTAAACAAAGTCATAATATTTACTACTTCACTACTGAATAAAGGGCGCTCGGAAAGGAGATGGTTAATATTTGGGAAAACGGCTTGATGTTCTATCTGCTGAGCATGTGGTCAGATTCCACAGTGACTCTGTTGCCTCACAGGCATCTTGTTGTGAAAAACTACCTAGGACTTTGGCAATTCACTAGTAAACACGCAGCTATGTGGGCTGACAAGCTCTTAGGGCTACTAACTGCGAGGTCAGCAGTTGCAATCCACCAGTGGCTCATGTGAGAAAGAAGAGGCAGTCAGTCGGCTCTGTAAAGATTTATAGCCTCGTAAACCCGAGAGAGATGATCTAGTTTGTTCTATAAAGTTGCTATGAATGGACATGACTCCAAGGCACTGAGTTTGCGTTTGGGATGTCAACTGAAGCTGAAGAATAAATAGATTATAGAGAAAGACACGTTGGGCAAGATTTTGGTAAAAGCAAGCTATATCCTGTAATCATTTAAGACAATGCAGTTCTGCTTTTAACATTAAAATGAGTCTTATTATTTAGCAACAATTACAAACAATAATAATACCATACGTAAGTAAAGTTTTGCTGAAGATCTTTCAATGACAGTTGTACCAGTACAGGGAACTGCTAGAAACTCAAGCTGAATTCACAAGAGAACTGCAACAAGGAATGCCATTGCTGATGTCCGATGGATTTTAGCTAAATACAGAAAATAACAGGAAGTTGTGACTTCCTGTTGGGACTAGGCAAAGGTATTACACTCTGTGGATCATCATAAGTTGTGAATGACATTCAGAACCCTGGGGAGTTTCAAAACTCTTCATTCCACTTCTTACGCAAACTCTATGTGGACCCAAAGGCAGTTAGTTGGTGGATCAGACCAAGAGAGCACTGCATGGTTTAAAGTCAAGAAAGGTGAATGTAAAGGTGATACCCCATCACCATACTCACTCACTCTGAATGCTGAACAAATAATCCACGAAGCTGGACTATATGAAGAAGAACACAGCATCACAATGAAATGGAGGCCAATTAACAACCT